GGTCCAGGTAATCCAGTGCTTGGCTTTCACAAGTGTTTCGTTTTTCTTGGGATGAAGGCTCAAACACTTTCTCTCAGTAGAATCTTTCCTTGAGTCAGCCATGAGGCTATGTGGCTTTCCAGAAGTCTTTGAGGTGGCCAAGAGATTTCCTATGTGGCTTTCCAGAAGTCTTTGAGGTGGCCAAGAGATTTCCATCTCCATCTCTAAGCACATGGCTAGAAGATATATCTTCTTTCCTTCCCCTTGATTGCCCAAAGACATTCTTAAGTTGGGTTTGCCACAACTTGCTCAGTTACTTCATGTCTCAGGATCCTGAACCAATATGTACATTGGAAGAGCCTGCCAGATTGGGTTTAAAGACATCCAACTTCTCCCAATCTCCTGTTTCGTATGTTGCTTCTGCTGGCATACCAGGAATTTTTGCTGGGCAGAAAAATTGGCTTGTATCATTTCTGGACCCCAAAGTATCCTCTCATTTAGATTAAGAACCAAATTCTTCTAAATATCAGTCTCACTTCCATTGGAAATTACCGGAGCTGTATACTAACAACTAAAAGTTACTGATTGCCATCCCTGATTCACACTCATTCATAATGTTTTTTTCTAAATAGCTTCCATAAAGTTTTGGTTAAGTTTAAATTATATATTCCTTCAGTGGATGCAGGAGCAGAAAATGGCAGCAACAACAATCTTGTTGCATTCTTGTGTGATGCTCTACTATAGTTTTAAAAACTTTCATGGTCATTTGCTAATGCCGCCCCTTTTTGAAAGTAGATAATTTGTTTGAGAGGTAAGAGTGGCCTCTTGTTACCCGACCTCCCTCTAGTGTCCAAGCTGGGCCAATTTGCCAGAGTTGGGACCCAGTAGTCTAGTAATGCTTAATGGGTATGAAATACTGCAAAGCTTTTATAGAAATAAATATCAGTAAGAGAGAAACAAGGTTGCTTTGCAAATAGCTTTTAAATGGACATTGGTAAACACTGATGAGCAAATCTGTCAGCAACATGACTTTGAGGGTATGGTATATGGAGTAGATTTTAGCTGGCTCCTGAACTGCTGTATATCTCAGATGGAAAAAAGCATATTTATTGCATTGACATTAATATACTGAAAGCTCCTTTGTATCACACTTCCAGGCAGAGTTGTCAGCAGTTTCAGACATCAAACACCTACGGAGAAATGCCAGAAATCTCAAAGACAAATGTTGCTTTAGGTTATATATTGTATTGGTAGATATGTAATAATTTAGTTTAATATATGTGTTCTAACTGTATTTTCAGGGCATCAGCTGAAACAACATACCAACCATCAATGCAAATATTAACCATTATTTGACTCAGGTTTGTCTGAAATTGAGGAAAACACTGTGCATGACAGTTTTGGAAAATTGTTGTGTACAGCACTCTTCTTAAGATATCTCTGAGTTGTATGCATGGTTGCACACATTTTTCCATAAACGTCTTGCTAGAGCAATTGTGCAGTTTGTTTACATAGCTTTGCTTTTCATAGATTAGTAGAAAGAAACTGCTATTTATTTTTCCATCTTTCTTAGATATTTTGGGGTGATTGAAGGAAACATTGAGAACCATTTTAGGAAACATTGAGAACCTGTCTTAGGAAGGAGGCCAGGTGAATATCCTTCAGACAGTCCTTTCCCCCTCCCTTAGCCATAAGAAGACCAGGGCAACCCAGTTGGGGGAATCTTGCCAAGAAAACTGTAGGGGTTTATCTAGACAATTACCAGGAGTCAGTACTGAGTTGAAGGCACATAATTATTAATTAAAGGAAATGTTTATAATTTAAAGCTTTTAAAGATTGGGAATATAAAAATCTTCTTAAAGTGGAATACTGCAGGAACAACAATAGCAAACAGAGTGTTTGTGAAAAGGATGAAACATGTATCTTGATATCACAATGCAAGTGTAAAAGCTGCAAAGATTATATTGCACCGTGTTACATCATTCCCAGGCCTCGGAGATACCCAAGAGAAACTGTATTTTTGTCCTTGGCATTATTTTGCTAAATTTTGCCAAGTTTGATCAAGAAGAGTGCCAGGGAATGCACATATGGATTTATAGATTATCACAGACAATATGGAGGCACTATCCTGGTATAGATAATGGTGCAGACATTAGAGAGTTAACAAATTCAGAAAAACAGGGTAGTTTAGCCAAAGATTGGATTCAAGGAGTAGATTCTCTCTGAAAGCATGGCGAAGAAACTCTGCCATCCTCATCAAAGGGAAGATTTGGAACGGTAATTGAGAAGACACGGCATTAACCAAGAGCCTCTGTGGCACAGTGGTCAGCGTGCTGTACTGCATGCCACTTCTGCTGACTATCAGCTGTTCAAATCCCACCAGGCTCAAGGTTGACTCAGCCTTCCATCCTTCCAAGGTCAGTAAAATGAGGACCCAGATTGTTACGCAGATTGTTGGGAGCAAGATGCTGACTCTTTAAACCACTTAGAGAGGGCTGTAAAGCACTGTGAAACCATATAGAAGTCTAAGTGCTATTGCTATTAAGCTTTACTTCATGTCCTGAAAGCACAGAGTAAATGACTACATTGCTTGCTTAACATCCAGTCAAGGAAAATTATTCAGTCTTGTGAGAGTTCAGTGCTCCATTTGCAAGATTTCAACTGTCATATAGGCATGTGCCAATTGGCAGTCTCAAGGGATGTCAAATGCTTTTTTAAAATGTCTTATTTTCATTTATTTGTATGCATCTGCTTCGTGTGAAAAATTATAGAATAGTGTCTGAAGGCTGAAAAGTTTACTAATTTCTGGCAAATGTTTTTGTGGATTCCAGTCCATTTCATTAGATACAGTTGGTACAGTGCTAAGAAAAGGTTATGATTTTTAGAGAAAGTAGGTTGGGATAAGAGTGAGAGTGGAAAATTAGAAATGGAGAATGGTTGAGTGGTGAAAGGAAAGGTGAGAAGCAAAATTATCTCTAGATTATGACTATTAGAAAAGCAGTAATTAACCACAATTTAATTACTGATAAATTAGTTAACACATGTAGTTTGACTGGAATGTAGGAAGAAAATCTGAACTCCTCCAATGAATTCTCATTCAATTGTTTTGCTCTTTGTAATTTCTTTTTTTCCCCAAGGTGGCTACCCTGAAGTTTATGAAAAGATGTCCCAAGGAAACATCATGGTCTTCCATTGGTTTTTCATTATTCATTGATGTTTATGTTATAAGATCTTTTTATACACAGAGTATACCAAAAGTCAGACCCTGCAGATAATTTATTAAGCAAATAATAACATTAAATGTTCAAATTGGTTGCCATTTTCCTCTAAATACTTCTTTACTTGTTTGGCATATGGTCTTTGAATTTTCCTTAGTAACATCTTCTCTGAAAAAATATATTGTGTAAAGCCTATGGGGCCTGACTTTTGTTGCATCCTTTTATATTGTATTATTACCCTTAGTTGGTCTCACTTTCTTTTCCTCCTTTCTTTCTTATTGATGTGTGTGTGTGTGTGTGTGCGTGTGTGTGTGTAAACATTATGAACATTGTAATAGAATTTTTATAACATTCTTATAGAATGGAATAAAGTCATGATTTTAACAAAATAATGAAAAATAAAACCTTCTAACCCTTAATGATGATCATGCTTGGTTTTATGGATACTAACCATGATCTAACCATGATCATGCTTGGTTTTATGGATACTGTTAATCCAGTCTGACAAATCAGTGGGATTTGGTTTTTATTTGGTGCCTTCAAATCAGTCTTGATTCCTTCAACTACAGTACACAGGTGGGATTCCCTCAGTTTTCCTGACAATATTTCAGAAATAGTTTGTGTAATTGACTTCTTCACACAATTGAGAGAGAGTGATTGGCCCCAAATCACCCAGCTGGCTTCCCTGCTTAAGATAGACTTGAAATCTGGGTCTCTCTAAGCACCTTAATTACTGCTTAGTGTAAAAGCATCTGTGTGGTTAGGAGCAGAAATTGTTTCCTTCTGATGTCCACAAGGTGGACAATCACAATAAAATGTAGATGTTTCTTTTTTTTTTAGCCATGATTCTATCATTTTACATCTATTTCTAGTTCTTTCCCTATAATATTTTTTAAAATCTCATCAAACACTCAGAACAGTGGTCGCCAACTGGTGGGCCAGGGACCACTGGTGGTCCGTAAGAAAATTTTGGTGGTCCACAGAGAAATGTCACCCCCAAAGCACCCCCCAAAGCAATTAATCCAGGCTGCGTGGGAACACAAGGCTGAGCCGCCCACATGGCCTGTGGGAACACAAGGCTTGTGTTGCTTGCAGGGAGGGACTTGCCCCATGCACCCCACGCACCTCGCCTGGCCACTGGGCTGCTTCTTTCCACTTCTTTCTTCTTCTGCTTTTGGCTGCACACGAGGAAAGCAGCAAAAGTCTTTCTTTCTCTCCTCAAAACTCCACCAGAAATGAGTCTTTGGGACCCTGCAAGGTATCCTGCTCCAAGAGGCTGTGCCGGTAAATGCTCATTTTCGGCGGAGTTTGGGGGAGAGAAAGAAAGACTTCTGCTGCTTCTGCTGCTTTCCTTGCATGAAACCAAAAAGTCTCTCTCTCCCTGAGAATGGAGCTGAAAAGCAGGTTAGTGAAGGAATGTGGCTGCCTTGGAGGGGTAGTAAGGGACCTGTGTGTGTGTGTTTGAGAGAAAGAGAGAAAGAGAGAAAGAAAGAAAGAAAGAAAGAAAGAAAGAGAGAGAGAGAGAGAGAGAGAGAGAGAGAGAGAGAGAGAGAGAGAGA